ATACATTCAAAATCATTTAGGCTGAGGCAGATGATAGATCGACACCGGCCACAACCAAGTGTGTTTTTGTCAGTGTGCCTGTAAGCATGCCACATAAAGGGCTAAGTAAATTTCATTTTGATTAATTATGGTACATATGTCTGTCTTGTCGGATGTTGTTATCGCAGCAGGAGGTATTTATGAGATACTGTGCTCTCCAGAGTTGGAGGCCAATGAATGAAGGTGGTTTATAGAACATCCTCTGTAAGTTTTGGCCTGCCCTGGGTACAGAGGTACAGTACAGGCCAAAAGTTTGGACACACCTTCTCATTCAATGCGTTTTCTTTATTTTCATGACTATTTACATTGTAGATTCTCACTGAAGGCATCAGAACTATGAATGAACACATGTGGAGTTATGTACTTAACAAAAAAAGGTGAAATAACTGAAAATATGTTTTATATTCTAGTTTCTTCAAAATAGCCACCCTTTGCTCTGATTACTGCTTTGCACACTCTTGGCATTCTCGATGAGCTTCAAGAGGTAGTCACCTGAAATGGTTTTCCAACAGTCTTGAAGGAGTTCCCAGAGGTGTTTAGCACTTGTTGGCCCCTTTGCCTTCACTCTGCGGTCCAGCTCACCCCAAACCATCTGGATTGGGTTCAGGTCCGGTGACTGTGGAGGCCAGGTCATCTGCCGCAGCACTCCATCACTCTCCTTCTTGGTCAAATAGCCCTTACACAGCCTGGAGGTGTGTTTGGGGTCATTGTCCTGTTGAAAAATAAATGATCGTCCAACTAAACGCAAACCGGATGGGATGGCATGTCGCTGCAGGATGCTGTGGTAGCCATGCTGGTTCAGTGTGCCTTCAATTTTGAATAAATCCCCAACAGTGTCACCAGCAAAACACCCCCACACCATCACACCTCCTCCTCCATGCTTCACAGTGGGAACCAGGCATGTGGAATCCATCTGTTCACCTTTTCTGTATCTCACAAAGACATGGCGGTTGGAACCAAAGGTCTCAAATTTGGACTCATCAGACCAAAGCACAGATTTCCACTGGTCTAATGTCCATTCCTTGTGTTTCTTGGCCCAAACAAATCTCTTCTGCTTGTTGCCTCTCCTTAGCAGTGGTTTCCTAGCAGCTATTTGACCATGAAGGCCTGATTGGCGCAGTCTCCTCTTAACAGTTGTTCTAGAGATGGGTCTGCTGCTAGAACTCTGTGTGGCATTCATCTGGTCTCTGATCTGAGCTACTGTTAACTTGCGATTTCTGAGGCTGGTGACTCGGATGAACTTATCCTCAGAAGCAGAGGTGACTCTTGGTCTTCCTTTCCTGGATCGGTCCTCATGTGTGCCAGTTTCGTTGTAGCGCTTGATGGTTTTTGCGACTCCACTTGGGGACACATTTAAAGTTTTTGCAATTTTCCGGACTGACTGACCTTCATTTCTTAAAGTAATGATGGCCACTTGTTTTTCTTTAGTTAGCTGATTGGTTCTTGCCATAATGTGAATTTTAACAGTTGTCCAATAGGGCTGTCGGCTGTGTATTAACCTGACTTCTGCACAACACAACTGATGGTCCCAACCCCATTGATAAAGCAAGAAATTCCACTAATTAACCCTGATAAGGCACACCTGTGAAGTGGAAACCATTTCAGGTGACTACCTCTCGAAGCTCATCGAGAGAATGCCAAGAGTGTGCAAAGCAGTAATCAGAGCAAAGGGTGGCTATTTTGAAGAAACTAGAATATAAAACATGTTTTCAGTTATTTCACCTTTTTTTGTTTAGTACATAACTCCACGTGTTCATTCATAGTTTTGATGCCTTCAGTGAGAATCTACAATGTAAATAGTCATGAAAATAAAGAAAACGCATTGAATGAGAAGGTGTGTCCAAACTTTTGGCCTGTACTGTATGTTATGTCAGTATGTTTCCCACTATGCTGGGGGGGTTTCGTGATGTGTTTTTATCAAGTTAAAATCTCAAAGCGTAGAAACGCCCAATTCATCACTCATTGGTGTGCGATTAAGAAACTATGTTCAAACTCTTTGCCAAGAGGAAAACGAAGACAAATAGTCTGTGTCAGAGTAGATGTCAAAAATAGAAAGCTGGATGCAGTGCAGCATCCTGTAGCTTGTCAGCAGTTCAGTGCAGGCAAACAGCGCTGCACTACACTGGTCCTTGCTCTGATAGAGGGCACATAAACATGCCCAAAGATCACAGTGCTATGTTAGAGAAGGCAGTAGGAGATGAGTGAGAGAAAACTACGAGTAAACTTGTAATACTAGAAGAACTAGAAAGCTCAGAGAGAAACAACAGCCATATGACAGTATGAATCACTACTTTAAATCCTTATGATAAATTATATTTCCTTTCAATTCCTTTCTCCCTTGCACATGACCATCCAGGTGAACACAATGTTGGGCGTTCATAAACAGCTCCTGATATGTGTGATGGAGAGTTAACCTGTCACCTGTCACTTTGGAGGGGTATGGATCACAAATGTTAAAAAAACAAATCAGGTTCCCATGTAAACATTGCAGCAGGTTTGGCTTGCTGTAATCATTCCTCCTGTTCACACTGGCTCTAAATGCCTTCCTGTAAATGATGGGGAACAAAATCCAGTCTCTCTTCTGTTCAAAAAAAGTGTGGGTTTCTTTGTGGATAAAGGTTGTTTAGAATGAAATTCCCTTTAAACATCCAGTACGAATAGGAGGAATGATTATAGCAAGCAAAAATGCTATCCCTCTGCATATAGACCTCGTAAGCATTGTTCAAATTGTTGCCAACATGTTTATAGTTCCATTTTGTTTGTAACATTTTAGTATTAACTACTCTGTGAGCAAGAGGTTTAGAAACAGCAGCACAGTAGACTTACAGGCACAGTTCGGATATTAAGAAATGGGGTTGCAAGAGGTACCTTACATAGTGTATTACATACAGTAGGTGGTGGGAAGCTAAGCAGTGTACTGCTGTGGAGGGGTCAGCAGTAAAACATATTTTAGACACCTAAAAAATAACCCAAAACATCCCAATTTCATATCAGTTTAAGTGTACGCTTTATCCAGAATATTTTCACTGCTTTACCTTGCATCAGACAGCACTTTCTGATGGGCAATTAAAGCCATTATATCACTCTATTCAAAGCCATTGAAAAATGGAGTTTAGCTCGCTGAACGCAGGAGCTGTCGTACCCCTTTTCGGCAGTCATGGGCTGGCTTGGCTTGGTTGGTTTTGGCCATTGGCCAGGGATTACCATTTCCTTTACAAGGTGTGTCTATGACTGATGGCGGCTTTATAAACAGTGGGCTGATCCACAGCTGAAGTTCCTTGTTATTTTTGCTGCATGTGTTTTTCCACAGCAGGGCAGGTAAAAGAAGTTTACCTGTTGGAGGTGAGCTGTTTGCAGAGGTGCAGTAAGAGCCTCTGTCTGCAGCTCTCTATCAACATCTCACTGTGGCTGTTTCTGCTTTTACTTTCCCCCCTGTGGTATCATTAGACTTGTGTTTATTGAAGAAAAGCCGCTAAGAAGGTTTTGCTAATTCAGTGATAAACACATTTCATCTGAGTTTGCGAGCAGCGACTTCACACAACTTCTAATACAGCTGATAACGAACATGAAACAGTAAAATAAAATGGATATCTTAAGTAAAAACAGGACGCAGGAGAGAAACTAAACTCTAAACCAAAAAGATTCACTCAGAAGCTACAAAAGTACAGAGAGCTGAACACAGAGACTTATAAAAATGTCTTTCTATCTGGTCTCCTGCAGACAGTGGTGAGTAGAGTCTTGGAGCACATACGGCTTGTTTGTGGGGTAGAGGCGAGGTCGTTGGGGGTTGGATGTGGTGAGATGTCACTGCTACCTGCTTGAGGGCGGGCAACCCCCCCAGAAGCGCGAATCAGTGCAACACGGCTTGAATTGGTGCGGCCAAAAGTGACATTGTAAAAGGCCAATTGGTCTGCTGCTGCTTCTAACAGTTTGTTTGTTTGTGTTATTGTGTGACTTTGGTGTTTAAAAGAGTTAGGTCAGATTCAGTGAGCTAAAATCATTGTTTTTGTCAATGGTGACTGGTGGCTCTGATGAGAGCAAAGTTTGGAAACTGAAGTCGTCAACGGCTTTGCCGTCATAAAAGGCTGTCTGCAGCAAGGGAAAGCAGTGAAAATACCCTCAATATAGCACACATTATTAATATTTTATTGATTTATTTTGGGTAGGACTTTTTAGGTGCCTAAAATATGTTTTGCTGCCGCCCTCTCCGCAGCAGCACATTGCCTAGGTACCGAGTTGGTATTCCTGCTGCTTCTCTAAACTCATCCTGGTCTCGCTCCAAACTCGTGAAATATTGACACTTCGTCAGTGGCCTGTTGGCATCAGACACCGAAAAACAGGGGCACTCTTTAGCAGCGGTATGAAACAACCCAGACAGAGGCATTTGCTGATGCTCCTGGCATCGGCTGTAATATAAGAGCGAAAAAGTCTTCATAGGGTGGGTGAGAGTGGAGGTGAATGGATCAGACGAACTCTGGACTTTCGCCCAGGAGAGTGCTGTTTATGACATGAGTTGTTTTAATGATGACATATTGAGCTAGTATTTTTGTATTTTAAGTGTTTTAAGCCAAACTACAGTATGATGGGTTTTTTATTCTTAACCTTTTGTTGCCTAAACCTAAGAAAGTGAACCTTAAAGCTAAACCAAAAAGTTTTTTACCTTCATTCTAAGTTTATTTGTAAAAGAGACTGTATGCATTTAATGAGCAGAAACTGCATTTCCTGTAAAAACAAATGATTATTTTGAAGAAAGATGATGCATGTAATGACCTGTAAATTGACGTGCCATCCCTGAATGTCCAAAACTGACGCAGGAGAGGTGCTGACCGATATCTACTGTAGGTAATACACTGACTATGGATAAGTACCTCATACAATCCCACTTCAAAGGATGCAAACTTTCCCCTTAAAGTCTTCTGAGAAGAAAGCAGAGAGAAAAAAAACCCAGACACAGGCAAACATACAGTAAGTTCAGCGGTTTTAACATCTGTTTCACTTTTATTTAGTTCATTGCAAGATCTTCAAACGGGGAACAAATACACACCATAATGAACACTGTAAAAAGGTTTTGAAAGTAGCTTTAGGTTCAACCAGGGGAATACCTGTTGTATTGTTATATTAACCACCCACACCCTCACAAACACACGCACACATTCACATACTCTAACACCCACACAAACACACACACTGTGCAGAAACAACAAATCTTTGTCAGCTGAATCATAGTCTCACCGCTTGTTTAAAACTCCCAAGTTACACCTCACATTGATGAGAGGAGCTTCTTGGCATTATGTTCTGGCGTCGCCTGCATAGTTCAGCAATGCAACCCTCTGCAGTTACATAATAACAAACATATAGTCATTAACAAGAACAAAATGGCATGCGTTTACAGACACAGTTCCATAGTATACACATGCACGTGGCAATAGATTTATGACGATTGCTCCCTTGAAGTCAGCCCAGTCAGATTGCTCTTTAATACATGCATTCACAGATCTGTCAGTCTGAGGCCTCAGTGTTTGTAATTCTCATTGTGGTGCTATCTACTGTAATCATAATGCCAGTAAAGAAGAGGAAACTCCAAAGTCCTCAGAGTTCAGGGGCCGGATGCATAAAACACTGTAGATTTACGACGGAAACTGTGTGTACGCACAATGGCAAAAATATGCATGTGTATTTTGAAAGACTGATAACTCCGTGTGTGCCCCTGATAAATCTCGGTTATTGCGGTGCTAGGCGTACTTGCACTAGCATGATTTTCACACCCACAGGTTGCATAAATGGATTCAGAAACGCCCCTACACAAAAATTTGCATATTGATACTTGTGTTCGCTCCACCACTCGTTGGACCTGTTCGTAACAAATCAGGTACAGAAAGTGTTTTTTCACCAACTGTGTTACATCGTGAGGTTCTCCAACGATGCCAGAGCGCACATCTGTGGATATTTGTAGTGACCATACCAGAAGTTCATCACATTTCTGCAAACCATCATCATGGCAAAATGTCAATCGACATTTTTAAATGTGTGAAAGATGATCAGTGATTCAGTCATACTGCTTATGTTGTAACTGACTTCATAAAGTGCTTCACAGGGTAACATTAAACGATCATTAACAGGGAGATGCACCCTTGATTGACATTTTACAGAATGCAGACAGCAGAATGATAAAACAATTAGCAGAATTGGCAAACTAAAAACAATGTTACACGTCTCTCAATTTATATTTAATCTGCTCCTTACCATATCACCTGCAGCACATTCCCACAGCACATTACGCCTTCATAAATACCAGTGTATGTGTGGGAAAAGGCTTACGTATGGTTTGTGTGCGTACACATGGTTTATGCATCTGGCTCCAGATGTATTATAAATTAAAAATATTTTGCACCTGGTTTATTTAAACTTGTGTTTTACCCAGAAAGTCTGTAAAGCAAAGATGCACTGTAGTACCTTTCTTTCTTACTCTGCTGTTTGGCGCCTGTGCTTTAAAGACACAAAATGGGCAGGAGAGAGGTTTCCCTCTGGCAGTGAGAGGAACAGAACTTGAACTGACATCTTGCTTTGTTTCTTTTTAACTCAGCCAGAGCATGTCATTGCATGGGACTAGGATGACTCAAGGTATTTGCATATAGATGTAAGAAAACCTCAGACACCACTGCCAAAATTTCAACAGACAATTTCAACAAGTAGAGTGTTAAACACTTACTAGGAAAAATAGATTTATAGTTGTAAAGGAAAATCCAGTGTACTCAGGAGAACATTCAAAAGACGCAGCAAATTACAGCCAGGTCAACCATGCTAGGATTTTTTTTTCCCAAAGGAAAGGATTGCTAATGTAGAGACAGAGAGATTTCACACTCTTTATACACTCTCTTTATATGTCTACAGAGAGTTAAATTCAGTCTTTATGGCGATTTAGTTGCAAGGCATCTTTCCTCCTCGTCCTCCTCCTCTGTTTCTTCATCCCTGGCGTGGGGAACAGAGGTCAGCAGCAGAGTGTCAGCATGGACTTCTTCATCGTCTGACTGGATCACAGGTGTGTCGGCTCCAGCCCCGCTGGTATCACTGGAACCAGATGATGTGGAGGACATACGAGACTTTGAGCCGCGGTTAATTTCGTCTTGCCGTTTCAAAGTTGCGCGCTCCCTGTAGACAACCTCTGCATCTTCATCCTCTTCATCCTCTTCTTCTTCTTCACCTTCTGTGAACAGAATCTGTTAGAACATGTCTGTGCCTGATCTGTAAGAGCTTTCGGCAGGATGCACCTGCATTACTGAATGTTTCCCATATATACCTGTAAAATTTATATGGATGATCCGTATTGAGTGCTGTTTGTGAAGTGTCTCGCACTGAAATTAACAGCAACATTTTGCCACATTTAGCGTCAAACGATGTTTAAAAAAGTGGTGTGAATTTTTTAAAGTCACTTTTTATCACATTTACAGCAATATTTGAAATATGATAAATATAATGTCACAGTTAAATCTAAATATTAAATGTTAAACCTAAATGTTAAATCCAAATTTATGTTAAATCTAAATGTTAAATGTTGAATCTAAATGTTAAATCTAAATCTAAATGTCAAATGTTAAATCTAAATGTTAAATCTAAATGTCAAATGTTAAATCTAAATGTTAAATCTTAATGTACTTGTTGAAACTAAATATTTAGCTAATTATGCAAATACACACTGCCGGTCAACAGAAGTATAAACATAAAAGCCCGGGTGGTCAGACTGTGTTTATAGCATCAAATAACAAATTAAAACCAAACTAATCGGAGAAAATGAACACTTGAACATACATCAGCATGATAAGAACTACCTAAAATGACAGAAACCATGTTTGGGGAAATTTTATTTGACTTGTACATTTAACATTTAGATTTAAATTTAACATTTAGATTTAGATTTAGGTTTAACATTTAGATTTATGTTTAACATTTAGATTTAAATTTAACATTTAGATTTAGATTTAGGTTTAACATTTAGATGTAATATTTAGATTTAGATTTAACATTTATATTTAACATTTAGATTTAGATTTAACATTTAGATTTAGGTTTAATGTTTAGATTTAATATTTAGATGTAGGGAAAATACCTTTGAGTTTTATAACATATTTACTACTAAACTACCAACTATTACTGGAAACTTGGTGCATAACAACAGCGTTGGAGGCTGTGTGGGAGCACGGAGGCTGACTGCTCACGTATGTTCTGGAACTGTGCAAAGATAAGTCTACGTTGACATGCAAAAGTTTGGGCATCCCTGGTCAAAATCTGTTTACTGTGAGTAGCTAAGTAAGTAACAGAACTGATCTCCAAAAGGCATGAAGTTAAAGATGAAACATGCTTTTCAACATTTTAAGCAAGATCAGTGTATTATTTTTGTTTTGTACAATTTTAGAGTGAAAGAAATGAAAGGAGCAGCATGTAAACGTTTGGGCACCCAAAGACATTTGAGCTCTCAAACAGCTTTCAACAGGGCCTCAAACCTTAATCATTTTGTTAGGACTGTGGCTTGTTCACAGTCATCGTTGGATGAGGCCAGGTGATGCAAATTTCAAAGCTTTATAAATACTCTGACTCCTGAAATCTTGTTCCGCCAATCAACAGCCACAGGCTCGTCTAAACAGCTGCCTGCAGTCTGAAAACTAAAATAACTGATGTCCACAAAGCAGGAGAAGGCTGTAAGAAGATAGTTGAGGTCTGGGAGACCAAGAAAACTTTAAAAGAGAGCTGCTTGTAGAATTGGTAGAAAGTCAAAACTAGGGGTGTCGGTGGCTTAGTGCTAGAGCAGGCGCCCCATGTACAAGGCTGTTGCCGCAGCGGCCCGGGTTCGACTCCAGCCTGTGGCCCTTTGCTGCATGTCTCTCCCTCTCTCTCTCTCTCTCTCTCTCTCTCTCTCTCTCTCTCTCTCTCTCTCTCCCCCCTTCACACTTCACCATCCTATCAATTAAAGGCAAAAAATGCCCATAAAAATATCTTTAAAAAAAGAAAGTCAAAACTAAACTCCTGTTTGACTCTGGAGTGGTGGTGCACTGTTCTACTGTGCTGCTACACCTGCACAAATATGACCTTTATGGAAGAGTCATCAGAAGAAAACCCTTCCCTGTGTCCTCACCACAAAATTTAGCGTCAGAAGTTTGCAAAGGAACATCTGAACAGGCCTGATGCTTTTTGGAAATAAGTGCTGCGGGCTGATGAATTAAAAGTAGAACTTTTTGGATGCTATGAGCAAAGGTATAATCGAAGAAAAAAGTGCAGAATTTCATTAAAAGAACGCCTGTTAAACTGTACAACACGGGGCTGGGTCGATCATGCTCCGACTTGTGTAGCAGCCAGTGGCACAAAAAAATTTTCACAGGTAGAGGGAAGAATAGATTCAGTTGAATTTCAGCAAACTGGGACACCCAGATGCTTGGTGGGTGGAGCAGGCATCCCATTTATTTCCTTGCTGCAGTGGCCACAGGTTGAATCCCAGCCTACAGCCCTTTGCTGCGTGTCAGCCTTTCTCTCTCCCCCTCTCACACTTAGACTATCCTATCTAATATAGGCAAAAAGACAAAAAAAATTACAGCAAATTCTGGAAGCAAACATCATAGCATCTGTAAAAAGGCTGAAGATAAAGAGAGGATGGGTTCTACAACAGCATAATGATCCTTAACACACCTCAAAATCCACAATGGACTACCTCAAGAGGCACAAGCTGAAGGTTTTGGCAAAAATCTCAGAGCTAGAAGCCTTTTGCAGGAAGAATGGGTAAAAATCCACCAAACAAGAGAGGCAAGACTCTCTTAGCTGGTTTACAAACAGCAATTAGAAACTGTGATACTTAGGAGCAAGACTTAAAAGACTGAAATTAAAAAGTAATTTTGCTTAAGATATTAAAGAAATGTGTCATAATTAACTTCATGCCTTTTGGAAATCAGTTTATCTTCCACTACTCACAGTAAACACAGTTTTGACCAGGGGTGCCCAAACATTTGCATGCCACTGTATACTGAAAATGTTACTGCAGTTGTTAAAACATATTTTGGGAGATGAAACTGTATCAGCCCTGTGATTTATCTTGGGAACATTACAAGTATTGTGATGGGAGAACTTGACCCAAGTAAGAAAGCCATGACCAGACACTGGCTTGATGTAAAAACTCAAATCAGAAGGCTGGAAATTGTCCCAGACATTTTTGTTGACATACATTTTAAAAGAACTGGGAAAAAAATAAATGAGACATGACACCAACTGAATAAATGCCTATAACTAGAATCTATACTGAACAAAAATTTAAGATAAAGATTAGTTAAAGATCCATGACTTTTTTTATACACTCGGCTGAATATTTCTTTCACATTTTGGTCACAGATTTATTAGAAGCTGTATTGGTGAGCAGTTCTTTTCCAAAACAACCAATCCACCTGACAGGTGTGGTGTATCAAGGTGCTGATTAAACAGCATCGTTACTACACCTGTGTGCCTCAGGCTGATCACAATAAAAGGCCACTCTAAAATGTGCAGTTTAATCACACAACACAACACGTGCTCTTTGTTCTCAGAGTCTTGACACAGCAGCAGTTTGTTGTCTTACCAACATGTGCAGTTATGGTGGTATTTAATCAGCACCTTGATATGCCACACCTAGTAATAAAATGTTTGTTTGGTTGCTCCTGATGTAAACAAACAAACAAGACACACAAAAAAAAGATTTGATAAATGAAATAGTGAGTAATAGTTAAAAGCAAGATTTAAGCTATATCCAGAGTATCAATTTTGACATTCTGGGTTGTGGCACCTCTTTTGACACGTTAAATGGCCTGCTTCTGTAACATCTGTGTGTGAAAACTGAATACATAAATGGCTTTAGGAAAGTGCAATGGCAGTAGATCGATGCGGCTCGGAGGCCATTAGTGCACCTGGTAGCGGAGATGCCAGCGCGCCCTCGTCTGCTCCTGAGCCTGAGTTGAGGAACACGTCGAGGGCCTCCTGGTCAGAGATGTCCATCAGGTCCATCTGTTCCAGGACGTCCACGTTCACCTCCATAGAGGAGATACTTCCCATGGGGGCTGCATATACAGGCATATATAGCAGACATGCACACTTTCATTTCAAAAGCAACACATTTCATTTGAATCTTGACACCGTGGACCGTCACTCACGTTTCCTGCAGTCGACCTGTAGGTGAGAAGAGGGCACGTAGTTGTCCACGTCATGCTGGTAGACCTCCTCAAAGAAGCGCTGTCTCTCCCTCAGCTTCAGGTGCTGCGCAGAATCATTGTCCAGCACCCGCTGAGAGATGTCTGTCTCAGCTGACCCCCCAAATGAGACACATACAAAAAAACATTCACATCAACTGTCTTTCACTGCATTATTGTGTCTTAGAATTTAGTATTTCTTGAAAAAATGCCAAATATATGCATCTTGGGAGGTGTGGTCTCTATTCTCTCCCCTGCAAAAACCCCCAACAACAATCAAAAAACAAAAGCATTTCTCAATAGCAAATAGAATAAGAATGATCTGTCTACTTCTGCCTTACACTGTGGAACTGACATTTTAGTGTCAGATGTTAGAGGCCTATAAGGATTAAGGCACCAACCATGAACTGCATCATTCCTGGTTTACATCCACGCAGGCTACGCCGTAATTATAATATATATTTGGGGACACATTCCCCCCCAAAATATATGTATATCTATTAAGTACCAAGCTAAGACAGGCAACCATGCACCGCCGTCCGACACAATCATGACCATAATCATAATCATCAATAAATTAACAAATTGCCTGTCTAATTATTAAAACCACTGGCTCTAGTACTATGGTGCACCGCAGTTCTGTGTGTGGTTTGTCCAAGTGTTGCCAAACCCAGCAGAAGCCATTGCTCGACTGCTGTGGGAAGGTACAATCAATGTCAAAAACTGGACTGTTTCTATTTCATTACTTTCAATTGTGTTAAAGAATGGAAAGGTAGAATGTTGTATGAGTGTTATGTCAGCTATATCAGTCGATCGTAGTCGTATATCATAAAAAGTCATAAAAATGTCATGGTATAGGATGTCATAAGAAAGTCATTAAACTGTCATTAAAAAGTCAAGCTATAGTATGTCATTAAAGTGTCATGGTATAATATATCAACGATGTCATGCTATATTATAAAAAAAATCATTAAAAAGTCATAGTGTAGTGTGTTTCCTGTGCGGCCCTCAATCATATGCTGGCTCCCTACAATGACACTCAGTCATTAAAACTTTTAGGACCCCTGAGCTAAGATTTTTTGTTACAAAACGCTGTAAAATGGTCAGTTTAGCTGTTTAGTTCTCTCCTGCAGGACACTCCCTTCAGATCTCTGTAGAGTGAGGGTCCAAGTGGTGACCTCAGGAGCTGAAAAATGAGGCAAACTTGCCAGAAACAGCAGTTCTTAAATGGCCAGTTGACACTGGCTCCAGAAGCCAGTAAATTTCTATAGACCCCTAACATGTCTAGAGCCTGGTACAAGAAATGGTTTTGGTCTGTACAGCTATTTTCCCCATTCATGACAACTGTACAGGGGTGGATTTTTTAATGACTTGTTTACATTTTATTGAAGATTAAAGTTACGGATTAATAAGGGCAGGGCCGCTTTGAGTTCCTGGTGTCACAACAGTATGAGTCAGATTCACCCCTTGCTCCTCCAAAGCTACACCCTCTCGTCCAAATGGGGTCACTTCTGGCTCCAAAATAACAAGATGGTGACGCCGAAATGCCAGGCTCCACGTTTGAAAATGGGGGTCCAACCAATGGATGACATCAAAGTAGCTACATCCATTATTTTATACAGTCTGTGGTTCGGTCACAGAAAGTGTAGGTGAACCCCCACCCTTGCCATATGAGATAGATATTTACGGTCCTGTGTTGCATGTCATTCCCCATCTTTCTCGAATTGCTCGAGACTGTCCTCTATCACCAAAGCCATACAGTGTACAAAACAGTTAAAAAATAAAATAAAATCTATGATTGAACTCTTAAAGTGAGATTAAAAGGTTCCGAAGATGTTTGAGGTTGTCTTGACCTGTTTGACAGCCTTTAACCGTAATGTGTTGGGGACGCTGTTACCAAACCTGCTAATAGGTTTGGTTTCTCAACCGCAGGTCAATTTTTTTTGTGATCTAATGTTGATTTAACGCTGTGCCAAACAAGTCACCTCACATCATTAGCTGCGGGCTTTAATTTGTTTTTGTTCAGCCTCAGATGTGAAGCTACCTGTCAAGCAGCCGATGCGACAATCAGTCATCTGAAAGAAAAGCCGAAAACACCCGCCAACTGTTAACAGATTTATCAGATGTCGTTAGTCTTTTATGAATTGATTCGATTTTTCTACAACAAAAATAAAAGCCCTGTTTTTTGAAATAATATATATTTAAGATAAATGCAGCAACATTCTCTTAGATCTCTCTGATATTTTCTCTTAATTTTCTTTTAAGAGAAAAAAGTTCTTAGCCATCCAAATCTGCTCTTACCCAGATGTATTGAATCATGAATCCCACTTGATTGATATAGGTAACAGCCCCTAATCACAATATAAGGGCTGGTGTTGTACCCTGTGTACTGTTAAATACACTTAAACAGAGTAAACGTGATTTTCCAGGGCATCAGTACTGGCGTTACAGGAAAATCCCAAATGTAGCAACGGCATAACCTTTGTGATGCTGTAAATGCTGTATCTGCATCAGTGGTTAAGGAAGTATTAAGTAGAAGTATGTATACCACACTGTAAAATACTGATTTACTAGTAGAAGCCATGTATTGAAAATGTTAAGTAAAGGTATGTAGGTACAGTCAGGAACAAGTATTTAAGTATTGAATGTAAAAGGAATCAAGGCAGAAAATTTTAAATCAGTTTAATAAATTGAAAAAATTATTAAAATAATTTAAAAGCTTTATTTGTACAGCACATTTCTTGACGCATCCAATCATTTATTTGCTCAATACAGTGACACAGGCGTTCTACGGGTCCATAATCACCTGGTCAAAACGGTATCTATATTTGCATGTCATCTGCATACATGGTAGGCTGCTTAATTATTTTGTATGATCTGGCCTATTGGAAGCATAAAGGGATTAAACAAGAGAGAAAAAAGAAAAGCAGGACGTCCTCATATTTGAGAAGCTGGAACCATGAATTTTTTTTGCATGAATTATGACAACAACAACTAATGAGATAGCTGTGAATTAATTTTCTAACCTAAATTTGTGGACTGTGAAAACAAGATGTTTATCTCTTATCTTGGTAGGTGTGCTGTCAACTTCTCGCTAAATGTTCTCTTACCTAGGAAAAGAACAATATTAAGAAAACATCCGTGAATCCCAGAAATCATAATAACAGAGATAACAAATAGTGGATATTAAAAAATAACATAAGAGAAGATGTGTTCGTATATCCCTTCCTGCATGAGGCCTGTTGAGGCATGTAAACTCAGATTCAACATGACTCATTTGTTCCAGCAAATAACTCGCACAAAATCTGTTCATACTATTAATCTCAATATTGTTGTGTCCTCTGATCTTTTAATTTCTTCTCCTGTCTCTGCCCTCTCTCCTGTCAGTCAGCCCTTTCTGTGACGCTTCTCAAGGCAAAGAAAATGTTCTCATGATATCAGTCTGACCTCTAGTGGTCATATTTAAACACACATGCAGTTTGAAAATCAATCTAACAGCAGGTGAAGATTGGTATCGACAGCATCACATAAACTTTGTGATTAACCAAATATTTGCTTTAATATCTGCTGCGACTATATTTTGAAGTACTAATTTGTGCAGACCTGCCCAAAACTCAACAGTGCTCTTAATCCTACATTTTAACATTACAGTAAGGAGTGTGTTTGACCCTTAAATATCTGTGCATGTATGCAGAGATGCGTCTAACTGCAATTTACAGTACCTCTGGTTTATGGTGTGCTGAGACAATGGATGCTCTGACAGAGTGGCTTTTGATTGGCCTTCAGAGTGTTGGCTCTAGTCTGTGTTGTCAACATATTTCGTTACTCAAGTACCAGCTATTTGAGCTGCAGATAATCTTTTCTTGGTGGGTGCAGACTCATATGTATGAGCAGAAGGGGAACAGAAAAGTAAGAGTCAGCTGAACATGCTCTAGCTTGCAGCACATGACATTACTGGAACATATATATTTTTTTCTTTCAGTGTGTGACGATACAGACATGTTGTGAAAAACAAGAGAGCATCTGTCCTTAGGTCTACCTCCAGCATCGACCTCTGCCATGCTGACCAGCTGTGGTTGTGTAACCGTGCTAAATCCTCCTCAGCACACACTGTGCCTCTTCCAACTGGGCTCCACGAGCTGACACTTTGACTCATGTCACCCGTGTTTTAATGTGTGTGTGTGCGTGTATGAACGAATACAGTGCAAGCGTGTACACATAAACTGTATGAGTGTGCGCTTATGCATTCATGCTTGTGTTTGCATGCCTTTGGTTTATGCTCAGTTTGTCACCCAGTGTGTGTAGCATGCATATCAAGCTTCCATGACTAACATGTTTACATGATGGCAGCAGATGGATCCAGTATGCACAGTGACAACATTCACTTTACTTCATCTACAGACCTTTTGAGTGCTACTTTTCCACTGTTTGAAAACAAACATGTGACCCAGTTTCCCTCTTCAGACAGCTCATCTCTGGAGACTTACAGTAGTCAATCTGCCAGTCACTCTTCCACAGCCCTGGAGGGGTGTGTGTCTACTACCATGCACTAACAACAGCCTTTTATTCTGTCACTGAAGCTGTCTGTGTGGACAGAAAACCACTCTGCGGTTCACAGTCCCCCTGGCTGATATTTCAGTTGGCGAAGTAACTGGGAACAAAGTCAATGACATAAAGGTTACAGTGTTCTTCAGTATAAACAAGTGTCCAGACATGAATGTAAATAATGCAATTGTCACCAATATCCAGCTAGAGAAACTCGTTGAGCTGGAACATGCTGAGATATTTATCTTAAAGGGTACGTTTGGTATTTTTCAACCTGGACCCTATTTTCCTGTGTTTTTATGTCTAAGTGACTTCATGGCAACAGTTTTTGAAATTGGTCCAGTATTGAGCAAGATTGCTGCAGCTGGCAGTGGCAAAACAGGCTACTACGTAACTACTTGGGGCAATTGCACACTGTCGATGTACATCCACTAAAAGTGCTTGTGTTTGCCACTGACAGGTTCAGATTATTATTTTAAGTGTCGGGTGATTGCGGAAAGGATCCCCACAGAGATAGACGTTTTTGTTAAAGAGTAAGATCATTTTTTGAATCGCCATCACTATCCCCA